GGAGGTTTTAGTATTAGCAGACGACAGTGCAGGTTGTGCTGTAATGGTAAAAGGGAGGTAATCACAACAAAACAATCAGCTACAAAATCATTGAACAAAGCACGCATAGCTATGGAATAGACTTAAATAGCTTAAAACAATGAAAACAAAAATGATTTTTACATTGATGCAGTAACACAACACTGCCATTTAATCTTGTACTTTTGAATATGGGCAAAACAAATAAGGAAAAAACAAGATGTATATAATGAAATAACATAATCTTAATGTTGAAACGAAAATGGAAAAAATAATATAGCAGAATTACAAAATGTTTGTTAATGCTTGTGAAAAACCATGCACAAAACTATTTTTTTATTTCTTTTAATTATCCTTTTTTTCAGATTTTTCATCAATGCAATGTACATGTAAAATAAATAACAAAACACTCACTCATTTGTATACAGGCACATACATACATAAACCTATATCTGTTATGTCCACATTTGTCAGAGTACATACATTCTCACGATTATATTTATCCATACTAGCACAAACTTACATACTCATTTCCGTCTATTTTTACATTTCAACATTTTATTACCCACATATACGCATCCATCCATGTGTCTTACATATATATGTCTCAATCATTCATAGCTATGTCTCGTGTAAAAATAGAACACATATCCATCTTCATCACATATGGTATTTATCTTTATGTTGGGAAAAAAATCTGCACTAAATTATATATAACCGCACATTCTGTATAAGTCATGTCCATGTAAAAAAACACCCATGTCCATGTATTAGCATAAACATAATAAATATCATTTTGCACAAAACAATGGATAAAAAGAGGGTTGCCTCCCCTCACTCAGCAAAGATTGATAATTTTAACAAATGTTTTCTGTCATGCTGGTCTTAAATGCAGTATCACAAACTTAAGAATTATCATAGATGTATTCTTTTAATGTGTATCAATACACTTATATCGCGCATGTTTGGAAAACAGACAAAGGGTTTGTAATTAACAATGACCACCACACATACCTTACCGGCTTATGTTGGGATTTGTTATACTGTTTCAAACGACTTCATGGTAAAGCATATTCTGTTTGGTCCTTTTGTTTCCAAATACTTCATAAACATATCAAGTGAGTCTCATCATGGAAACTGACGGTCGGATTTTATTGAAATATATTCATAAACATGTATAATTTGAAAATGATCATCGGGATTTCTACCTGTCTGACCAACGTTTTGTCTGAGGATTTCCTACGTCATATTTATAAACTAATTCGCATGCGCATGCAAAAATAGAACCATTAAATTAATGTAAAAAATAAAACATTATGTTAATAACGTGTAGTGACTTAGCTTAATGGTGTATAATTCAAATCTAAAGAATTAATATAACTTACCTTAAATGAAATTTTGATACAAAACGTGCGATAATAGCATTCTCATAATATTTATCTACGTTGTAACACGCTGAGTTTCTGGGACAGTTGTCAAAAAACATTTGCTATCAAGTTAATATAGTTTAATATACAATATACAAATGACCACTGTTTTCATGAAGAATATCCATGCATTACTATTATGAGAATTTCGACACGTTCGTTTGACATATTTGACACATGTGGCCTTGACAGTGGCCCAACCTTGCTACTGCCAAAATTCAGAGAGGAGATCGTATAAAGCATTCACAGGCAATATTGAAGCCAGGTGGCAATTTGACTCTTAATGTGGGACAGAGGAACCTAGTTTCCCTATGAAGGATAAGATACTTGAGAATTTGAATAGGAAAAACTAAACTTTGTCAACTCCCCTCTATAACAATTCATTCTCGCTGTATTGTACTGTTATTCTATAGCTTATGGACCAATTGGAAATATGTTTTATTTAAACTTTTATATGGGTTATCCAAGGTATAAAGGCCAACTGTCCATTTACTTACTGTAACTACTGTAGTAATACTCAATGTGATATAATCTAGTCTATGTATGTCTCATGTTTGTTTGTATGTTTGTACCACTTGTGAAATTGTAATGTCTTTAACATGAATTAATATTATTATTATTATTATAATTACTCCAGAAGTGGAATTAATGAAATGTGTATTTTGAAAGAATTCTAAAGATCTTGAACGTCCTCTTCTCAAAATTGTTTCTTTTTCTTTTGTCACTAACACACATCATACAAAACTGAGCGAATGCATAGAGTATCCTATTACCGAAAAAAAGTAGAACATTCTATGTAGGTATACGTGTGTGTGGTTAAATAGGCGGATGTGCATTTATTGAAGAGATCAGAACGGGTAACAAGTCAAGTCCTTCAACCTCACTTTCAAATATATCGATGATATGCTGCCTTTAACCTACAAGCAATCGATTGCCTGATCAGATTGTATATACTGTTAAGGGGTGTCAGGAGGTGTAGGCTGTATATACTGTTAAGGGGTGTCAGGAGGTGCAGGCTGTATATACTGTTAAGGGGTGTCATGAGGGGTAGGCTGTATATACTGTTAAGGGGTGTCAGGGGTTGAAGGCTGTATATACTGTTAAGGGGTGTCAGGAGCTGTAGGCTGTATATACTGTTAAGGGGTGTCAGGAGGGCAAGGCTGTATATACTGTTAAGGGGTGTCAGGGGTTGAAGGCTGTATATACTGTTAAGGGGTGTCAGGAGGTGTCGGCTGTATATCCTGTTAAGGGGTGTCAGGAGGAGTAGGCTGTATATACTGTTAAGGGGTGTCAGGGGATGTAGGCTGTATATACTGTTAAGGGGTGTCAGGGGATGTAGGCTGTATATACTGTTAAGGGGTGTCAGGCGGTGTAGGCTGTATATCCTGTTAAGGGGTGTCAGGAGGTGTAGGCTGTATAAACTGTTAAGGGGTGTCAGGAGGAGTAGACTGTATATACTGTTAAGGGGTGTTAGGAGGTGTAGGTTGTATATACTGTTAAGGGGTGTCAGGAGGTGTAGTCTGTATATACTGTTAAGGGGTGTCAGGAGGTGTCGGCTGTATATCCTGTTAAGGGGTGTCAGGAGGAGTAGGCTGTATATACTGTTAAGGGGTGTCAGGGGTTGAAGGCTGTATATACTGTTAAGGGGTGTCAGGAGGGGTAGACTGTATATACTGTTAAGAGGTGTCAGGAGGTGTAGACTGTATATACTGTTAAGGGGTATCAGGAGGTGTAGGCTGTATATACTGTTAAGGGGGGTCAGGAGGGGTAGGCTGTATATACTGTTAAGGGGTGTCAGGAGGTGAAGGCTGTATATTCTGTTAAGGGGTGTCAGGGGGTGTAGGCTGTATATACTGTTGAGGGGTGTCATGAGGTGTAGGCTGTATATACTGTTAAGGGGTGTCAGGCGGTGTAGGCTGTATATACTGTTAAGGGGTGTCAGGAGGAGTAGGCTGTATATACTGTTAAGGGGTGTCAGGGGTTGTAGGCTGTATATACTGTTAAGGGGTGTCAGGGGGTGTAGGCTGATGTAGAATATGGGCAAGGTTTCTTGTCGCCATCATTATCTCATCGGGTAATAAAATATTTCCTTGTGTTATGTAAAGGTCGGTGTTGTTTCTATTACGCTCATGCGTGTCCCTTGTTGTTTTGTCATCATTCCATGGTTCTATCTTTGAGAACGTGTCATTAATCGAGTTTAAGCTAGATATATGTACATGGTGGATATGTTGTTCATAATACGCTTTTTCTTCCGGAACACCTGGTCATATTATCCTTGTATTTTTTCAATGGTCTCCATGAAAATCTTCCCTTTGTTCATATTTTGCTCTAGTTTTATTGATTTCGAGGTCGAGTTACGGTTCTATTAGCACTTATGTATTCTCACATTGTGTTTGAGTCACTACTAGACAGAAAATCCCAAACAGTTCTGTAATGGTCTCAAGATTGCGTCTCTTACTCGCGATCGGATAACAAGTTAATGTTCAACAAGCCTGACAAATCATGTTTAAATATCGCATTTAAAACATAGAATTCAGAGATGTAATATTTTTGTATATACATTACATGTAAATTGATCTTGTACTAAAATGATTAAAATGGTGTATAGCGAGTTTTACTTGGTCAATAACAATGATGTCTTAATGAAAATTATTCACCGGCATTACAACATGTCAATCTCTTTAGCGAACCAAATGAATGCTACGAACCTTTGTTTGTAAATAATGTAAGTAATATTTCATAAAAACATGATCCAAGCACAATACACTGACACTTGGGACATATTCATGTATATTTACTTATTTAAATGTAACACCTTTCAACTATTCGAAGAAAAAAGACTTTTATAGTAAAATGTAAAATTTACAGCGAATCAGTAAAAATCGTTATCCAGTAGAAAAGACAATTAAAGTTAAATGGCCTGTATGGTATCTAACCAGAAGCTGTTATTTTGGTAACTTTTGTACATGCCAAGGGGCTACTTTCATCAACAGAATCTGTAGCGAAAGACCAGAAAACAACTGCACTGGAGTCTAGTTGAAGATGATAATTTCGACCTCCCATGAAAAGTGTTAAACGCTGGCGGCAACTTGATTTTTTTCTCTATCATCGTTAATAGTAAAACAGTTAGATAGCAAATCGAAGTAAAATTTTATAAAAAGAAAGTATTCAATACAATATTTAATAATAAAAAAAATCAATAAAAGCAAATAAATAATTATTAAACTAGTTATTTAAAAAAAAATGAAGGAAAAAATATATCTGCTCTTGCTAGGAGTCGAACCCTTTCATTCTCTGTCCCTACCGGAAAACTGTTGGATATGTATAGTAACGAAGCTGGTAGCTGAACCTGATATCCGTGTACACGTTAAAACGGTTGCAAACTGCGTTAGGACAATTCAATTCACACAAATTCATCAGAAGAAACTATGTTTGGTATTTTGTATTAATTCAAAATATAGCAGAATTGTTTGATTGTATAGAAACTTTGTTGATTACGAATCCGGAATATCTATACCGGGTTTCGTTTCCCTTACTAGTAGACGCAAAGTTGCTGAAGATGAGAGATTGATGGATAGCGGATCGTTCTGCTTTAAACGATGATTTTGTCTATGTTTACGGATTAATCACGATGGAATAGGTAAGTGCATATTTCAAATATTTATTCAACACCATCACAATGTACTTTTGGGCTTTTGTGTGTCCGGAAATAGCAGAAAACAGTGAATATGTAGACAGCAGTACGGTGTGTATTACATGAGCGAGCAGCCGAGGATTGTCTCGCGCTGTGCCTAATCACACAGTCAACAGACGATCATCACCAATGGCATGTATTCATCTATTTGCAAATTATCGCCTTTCTTGGGGCAAATTCTGTCTCCAGCTCTAACCCATTTACGGTGACATGATTGCCTGAAACCTGGCTCGCCACAGATTATTTGCCAATCATATTATGATTTTTTCGCCCCTGGATTGATTCTGAGAAAAAATCTCAGTGTGTTGCTCAGCTGGACGTATTTTAGCCAACATATCAACTGGGATTATGCTTTCAACGAGCACAAAGTTCTATGATTGTCATCCATGACATCTTCTTTAACAAAACAAGTTAGCTTTGTTTGTATAATTAGGCCTTGCACATTGTAAATGAGACCAGCACCAATATTTTTTAAAAGAAATCTTAACTCAAAAATTTGGAAGTCTACTAAAACAATTTGAATTTAAAACCTCACGAAAAGTTTATTTTGCTTCATCGGAATACTGAACCGGATTCGTGATTGAACTTATTTGATTTTTGACGGAATTAAAACATTTTAGAAATATTTTTTGGGGCACTACATTTTTTTCTGCTGTCTGAAATACATAGTCATTAATATTGAATTTGTCTGTAGGAAATTATAAAGCAAAAATATAAAGTTTCTACATTTGAAATCCCTGGAATTATAATGTAAAAGAAAAGAAATATGAAGATCCATTAAAATGAGTTGTCAAGAGTATTAAATTTGGGCAGTCATTTGTGACATCCAATAGAAATTTGGTAAACAGAGAGTCAGAGAGAGAAAAATGCATGGTCAGACTGGGTAAGTACCCAGGACCCTAGTCAGTTGCTGTAATTCCTCCCTCCTTTAGTAAACTCCTCAACCCCGAATTTACCCTCACACACGCTACCCTATATACAACCTTCTGTGGGTGTATATTTGGTCGGCACAAAATGTAACACGAGAGGAAAAATGCACAGCCAGATCAGGGTTCGAACCCAAGACCTTCTAATTATATGAACTCTAAACAGACACTCTAACCAGTTGAGCTACCTGGTTACCAGAGATTGACAAAATTTTGTTCCACTACACTTAAATGACATCAGGACCTCAGGGGCTGCACTCCCTATAAGAAAGTTTCTGGAGCAAATTATGTAAAAATGATTAGGTGGTCACGTGGTACATGTACTGTTTAACTCCAGTGTGTAGGTAAATCAGCATGTAAGCCAAATTCATCATTATAAGAATGGTAAATTTTGATAGAAATTGCTGAAATTTTACATCCTTCATACATTTGTATATACTGAGTACTGACTAGTACCCGCGCATCTGATATGCACACAAGCATTTTAACTGTTGTCAGTGAATCACCTTTTACTGTAACAAGGGCCCGTATTCATGACACCGTTCTCATGCTCAAACATGGATTTTGTGCTCAAACCAACTTTCTTCTAACTCGCTTAATTAGATCTTGTCAAACAATCATCTTCTAACTCGCTTAAAGGGGCTGATCGGGGAAAAAATTACAAAATAAATGGGTCTAAATGCGTTCTCTGGCCTTCCAAAAGTTATACCACGGCAATATGATGGTCGAGTTCTGCTTGCATTGTCCAGTTTTGACCACTGAAATCTCAGAGAAGCCCCGCGTAAATTTAGCGCAGATCTATTTATAATATGTCACGTGGATGTTTCGAAAGTGAGGCAGTGAAGATAACAACAATAGCACGCCGTCATGTGCCATGTCGGACTCAACTAGCGGACAAGACAGCAATACTATACGTATATAATTGTTTTCAAAGGTCATGTATGATGCAAGTGTAACATTCCTACCTATATGTTGTTGTTATATATAACGGTATTGATACCTCGCGCCTGTCATGACTTTTGCATGCATCTTTTTCTTTCGCTGCGATGTTTACATTTGGCCTTGTTGATGACGAGGGTGCGGTAAAATTACATCACTGATCTGGGTCAATTGAGAGTTTTAGACTGTCAGGTGACGATTTAGGATTTCTTTAATATAATTATAAGTTTTACTCTAAGGGAGTGAATTTCAGCAAAATTTGAATTGGTATATTTCATAAGAAGGTATTTTAAACATGTGTAAAACATGACATTTTTTCCCCGACCAGCCCCTTTAATTAAATCTTGTCAAACAATCAAAACGTCAAATGTAAACATTGAAAATAGTTTTCGGCTTTAAGTCTCTTCAATGTTTTCCCAAAGCATTGAAGTCAAATTTGGTAGAAAAAGTATCTGGAAGACTTTACCACATTTTCCAAACAGAAGTTTTGAAGGAGCTTTATCCTCATCGATTAGCTTTATTGCAACATTCTGCATCATATATGGCTCTTATAGGTCTGCATGTGGAGAATTTTACGACAATCAGTGATTTTGTGCTTGTGTGACTGAACAATTAACTCCTGTAAAATTTCATTTAAAAAAAAAAAAAGTTTTTACCAGTAATTTACAATATTGATAAAAAAAAACTTGTGGGCCTTTTATCACATTTCAAAGGTAATTGTAATATGATTAAAATGAATCAAAGCTAATTTGTTACTGTAAAATAATGTTTTTCGATAAGAAATTTGAATGTCAGATAATTTAAAGAATGGCAACTTATATATATCAATGGGAGGTTAAACAAAATTAAACCAAAATAAACCAATCCTTCATATTGCTTCCTTCTGTATTAGTAACACAAGATTCTACCAAGGGCTGACTGAGATAGACCATGTTTAAAGATCCTATTAAAGTTGTCTCTAATGCTGGGAATTGAACATGTGCCTATATAGCTACCAGCACATATGAATTAAAATGCTGGCAATTAAAGTGCTGTAGAATTTTGATTACTCACCAGGGCCAGCAACAAGGATTTATTTTAGATGCATTATGATCTACAGTGATTAAAAACCTTGTTTAAAGGTCTGACAAGTTGTTGTCTGATGCTGAAAGTCAATCTTGTACCTTCCAGCACAATGAACCGGAGTTCAAAGTGAAATGCTTTTAAATTGATCGTAGGTGCCATAAATTAAAATAATATTTGTAGTATTGTTGAGCTTCATCAGTACCCAATCACCTTGAGCATCCAATAAAGTCTACCTGCACGTAAGGCCTGATAAAAAATAATGTTTTCTGTGACTATGCATACCACACCTAGCCTATCTTTTGTGCCTATATACCCCAAACTTTTTTGGGCAATTATCAAGGTAGGACTGTTAAAACCCCGATCACTCTGATAAAAAATGAAAAATAAAATTAATTAAGATCTACCTGTCTACTAAGGATTTTTTTCGGATATGTAACAGGAAACAAACATGTTTTTTTCATCGGCCTCACAAGTGATGGAGCCTGCAGCCCCCTGGGATGATCACAAGTCATACATTAATCAGAAGGGTATAATGTACCTGGCCACAGATCATCCATAGATATTCAGGTGTGCTATTTGATATTGGGACATCACACAGGTACTCCTGGCAAACATCAATATCTTCCATTATCAGGAAATATTGGAGCTTCGTGATCACCTCAATGTGTTGGAGACAAGGCCATGATGTAGGCTTTGTGTAATGTTAATCTCAATGTCCCAAGCCTCTCTTGGGATCCTGTATGACCAAAGCTAATCAAAGACTGGTTAGCTTATCCAAAGATAATGTATAATTTCTGCTAAAATATTTGTTAATATATCTTCTTTTTTTTAATAAAAAGCAAGCTCTTTTGAGAGATACTTAAGAATTGATTAAAAAAAAAAAATCCAGAAAAACTTGACTGGACATTCACATACATATTGAAAAATATTAATTTCAAAATTTGAGCTCCAGATTGAAAGCTTTCTAATCATTCGATGGATGGAGTCTACCTTTTAATTAGAAACAGATATTCTTTTCATCGGGTTTCAATGCTTTATGCATGACGCAGACATTATGTTTGATGTCGGGTTAGTTCTTTAAATGATCAGTATGAGACGATGAATTGAACTGGAAATTTCATATTCCTGTAAAACCGGGAATTCTATCAGAATTTACACAGAGAACTTTCAGTTCCAAATTGTTTGTTGGAACATGCATACCGTATTCATTTATTTAAATTTTCAGCTACATCTTTTAATTATGAAAACCTAAAATCATGATGATAAGAAATAATATTGGAAATGTATGTTACTTTTAATGTTCAAATGTTATAAATATCAATTTTGAACCTAGAGCTAGACATCAAATTAAATATTGTACAATTATGTATTTCACTTGGTTAAGGTCATAGGAGTGTATTGATAAACGGAAATAGGAAGTGCATCCCTAGTTGAAATCCAATGTAGGGAGACAGTTTCACAATTTCCGCATATTCTGATGTTTAATATTAAACTGATAAATATTGCATGCTTATTATTGACAGAACAGTGTGTTCTCTCAATATTAAAGTATTTCAAAGCAATCCAGGCATTAATTCAGTTGTTTTTTATCAATGAGTCACATGTGTCCATTTTTCTGTACTTCAGGAACCCGGCTACCTATTTCACTACTGTGAAGTTTTTCAAGAAAGATAACACTTTACATGCAATTACTATATGTACATGGTTTTATTATAAAATGTCAATTTTCAAACGTTTATAGATAATTAATTTTACACAATTTCAGCATTTGTTAAATTGATATACATTAATGCAATACTAATCTATGTCAGTATAATTTTTATTGACATTATTTTGCCTAAAATTGTGTCTTTCATTTTTTTTTTCAAAACTCACTCCTTTTTACATAAATTTTCATTTCAAATCCTTTAAATTCTGACAACCTATATTTTTTTTTGGGCAGAAAATGTTCTTCACTTCAACGCAATATAACTACAAAATTGGAAGAAATTCTACTGAGAAATGGTGGCACAATCC